TAACCCACATAAACAAAATATTTTGGAGATCCTTAGCAATCTTTAAAAGCATCAAACAGTTCTGAGACCAAAAAGTTTGGGAACTACTATCTTACACAAACCTCCATTAACAACTTGAATTCACAGAACCACAGTTGTATGTGCAATTGTTGAGGCTAAGAACAAGTGACTTACCTATTAACATGGTGAATTAGAGGCAGAGACAATCTAGACCCACAATCTCCAGCTATGGTGTGCTACATAACTCAAGTTAGACTTTTATGTGTTTATTTGTTTGTTTATTTATTTTTAGGATGTTCTTCAGAGCACACCAGTAAGAGAATTTTGAGATCCTCAAGCTATACAATGAGAGAAATATCACTCTCCTCTCAATATGCATCCATTTAAATGGGCACTGATCATCAATGAAATTGCATGCACCTGTGCTTGTTGCTGTTGAAGGCAAATTAAATAACTCATGACCCATGTTTTGGGGGAGCCAAGCTGATCATATTGAGGAAGGGATCACATGAAAGACCACACATAGTAGCCTATAATATGAATTATCCATGATATAACATGTACTCATATGACCTATATAATGACATTTTGCTCCTATGATATAATTATCACATGTAATATAACACGCGGTATAATAGTTTATAAGTTGTATACATTATTTTTAGGGAACAGGAACTACTTCAGGGTTATAACTGGCAATTGTATGCAAAGCTGAATCATAAATGTGGGAAGTGTGCCATTCTCTGTGTGTCATTGTCGCTTGGACACTTCCCAACTTGCATTCGTGTCCTAGGGTTGCTGTTGCAACCATCATAATAAGTAAGGTTTTTCACTTCAGCAATATATTCTCTCACAGTTCTGGAAGCTAGAAGTTCAAAATCAAGGTGTTGGTAGGGCCAAGATCTCTCCCAAGGCTCTAGGGAAAAAGTCGCTTTGTCTCTTCACATCACTCCAATCTCTACCTCCACCTTCACATAACCTTCTCCTCTGTATGTCTGTGCCCAAATTTCTCTCTTCTTATAAGAACACTACCCTAAAAGAGGAGCCCACCCTAATCCAATGTGACCTCATCTTAAACATGCTTACACCTGTTAAGATCATGTTTCCAAATGAGGTCCCATTCATAGGTTCTGGGGGACATGAATTTTGGGGAACACAATTCAACCCAGTATACCACTTATGTGTCTATCCCCAGTCCCCAATGCTCAGAATCTCTTTGGACCAAAGTCCATTTAAGTTTCCCCTTATACTTTTCAGGGTGTGAGACCCCACTGAACCCCACCTAGCTCTTCTCTCTTGATATGGCAAGTGGTTGCCACAAGCTCACCACATGTAACTTATGAGTTTAACAAACAGTTTCTCAGGACCACGGATATTGGGCTTGGAAGGGGAATGGAGGAAGCTGAAAGAGGGGCACCTGGACAGTGGAGAGGTAAATGGCAGAATCCTCACATATTTGTAGCTCAAGATAATATTAATGAGATACATTGGAAATGTAGGGAGCCACGAAGGACACCACACTCTATACTTCTGGCATAGCTGACTGTGCATGAACTGGCTGGACCCTCAAGTTGGGCTCCAGGCATGGTGTTTCAGAGCACTAGATCTTGAACCAGACCACCTGGCTTCACTACAAGGGTAGCCTTAGGCCGTTATTTCACTTCCTTGTGCCTCAGTTTCCACATCTGTCAAAGGTGATAATATTCTATTTCACAGACTTCTCATGAGGAATAAATGAGTTAACAATATATTTTAACTGGCCAGGCATGATGGCTCACACCTGTAATCCCAGCCCTTTGGGAAGTCAAGGTGGAAGGGTTGCTTCAACCCAGGAGTTTGAGAGCAGACTGGGCAACATAGCAAAACCTCATCTCTACAAAAAAATTAAAAAGTTAACCAGGCATGGTGGTACATGCCTGTAGTCCCAGCTACTCAGGAGACTGAGGCAGAAGGTTCACCTGAATCCAGGAGGTCAGGGCTGTGGTGAGCTGTGATCATGCCGCTGCACTCCAGCCTGGGCAACACAGTGAGACTGCAACTCAAAAAAAAAAAAAAAAAATTAGATCACTTAGAACACTGTCTGACAAAAAAGGCATTCATTATTTATTTTATTTTATTTTTTTTTTTTTGAGTTGGAGTCTCACTCTGTCGCCCAGACTGGAGTACAGTGGCCGCTCCTGGCCACCGCAACCTTGACCTGCTGGGCTCCGGCGATCCTTCCGCCTCAGCCTTCCAAGTAGCTGGAATTACAGGCGCGCGCTACCATGCCTGGCTAATTTTTTTGATTTATTGTATAGACGAGGTCTCACTAAGTTGCCCAGGCGGGTCTCGAACCCGCGGGCTCAAGCAATCCACTCACCTCAGCCTCCCAAGGCGCTGGATTACAGGCTGAGCCACCGAGCCCGGCTCATTATTATTATTAACATTATTATTATTACATGAATTTTGATCCAGTTAATAAGAATTTCAGTATTTTACTGAATTTCAGTATTTTCAGTAGTTCCTCCATAAACTCCCTTATCCTCCTCCCACCATCACCACCAGAGGAAAACATACAACAGTCTGTGGATGACTTTTGCCTTTTTCAATTCTCCACACGTCTCTTCCATTATAAGGGGCCCTGGAGGAAATTTTCTTGTGACAGAGCATCTTAAAGCACCAGGAAGTTGGTAACTGTCAAGTGCTTCTTGAGAAGTGCTGAGGAAACTGACATCTTAAACTTGAGTTAGCACAGAGCTGTTATTAAATTGATAGTCACCTGTCTGAGCATGCTTTATCGGTAACTTTAGCTTGGGAGGCAGGCGTGGCGCTCATACTGTGTCCTCCCACTGTCCCCACCATATCACAGAGCCCATGCTGTCTCAGCAACTCAGGGGTGGGTCTGTTTCTGGCACTAGAGAAAAGTGAGAACTGAATAGGAGGCAGGACTCTTGGTGTAGTTAAGAGGGAGTTAAAATGACTGTATTTTCATAGCAATTACATATAGCCAACACTGCCAGAGTCTCCGGTTATCCATTATACACCTGAGCCTCTACTGGGAGAGATTTGCGAGGTAGAAATAAGCACACAATTAGGCTCCAATGTATGAAAGAAGGAACCGAGACCTCCCCACCTGAATGCCACAGTAAAACAAATCTCAAGAAGGAAAATAATGTGTTGAGCTTTTCAGGGATGCTTTCCCCCCGCCCTTTCTTCTTCTTCTTTTTAATCTCGGCAAGCCCTGATTCCTGGATGGTTGAATTGTTTGCAGCTTGGCAAGCAAGGCTTGAGGTCTTCAGTACCTGTGCCCTCCCTGTCAGTGGAGTCCCTGCAAGGTCATCTGAGGGGGGGCACAGTTTCCAGGAAACCCAACATCAGAAACTGGAGCAAGTGGGTTATTTCTTTCTCTAAGTATTATGTTGGGAGCTACTTGATGGAGATAAATTATACAAAACCGGTTTCCCAGACTTTTTTGCGTGTTCATGCATTTACATAAAATAAATTCTTTATGAAATTCATGGATCCGTAGCCCACTCAGAAGTGCAGTAAAGATAACTTGTCATTCAGACATACAACAGCCTACTATTTTGAGGAAGTCATGTGAAGGGGAAATGAACTGAGAGTATGCAAACACTTGATAATGCTATCTGTCATAGTTACATGTTCCTGTCCTATCCCCTGGTCCACCCCACCTCACCCTACACAAGGTCATAAGCTTCTTGAGAAAATGCAGTTTTGAATCTCCTGGGAAATTTTCTCCAGTGCCTTGGACGTAATTGATTGTCAATATGTATCTCTTGGGTAAAAGGACAATTTAACAAATTGACACTGAAGACCCAGTACTAGTCAGAACTAAGTGGCATATTGATGAAAGTCTCGAGCCTTCTGACTAGCCTAGATACAGAGAGAAGAGATCAAAGTCTGAGGTGTTTGTATACGTGACATCCTCCATCCTCCTGGAACAAGGACCAAGGAGTGGAGGAGAATAAACTCCAGAGGAACATATTTGTACTAAGTATAGCCAAAGGAAAACATTTCTACTTGTTAGAACAAACCTCAGAATGGACTGCTTGGAGAGATAAATTACTGATCAGTGGAGATTCTCAAACATAGATGGATGTTTTTTTTTTGAGTTGGAGTCTCACTCTGTCACCCAGACTGGAGTGCAGTGGCATGCTCCCAGTCACCGCAGCCTCGGCCTGCTGGGTTCCAGCGATCCTTCTGTCTCAGCCTTCCAAGTAGCTGGAACTACAGGTACGTGCTACCACGCCTGGCTAAATTTTTAAATTTATTGTAGAGACGAGGTCTCACCAAGTTGCCCAGGTGGGTCTCGAACCCGCGGACTCTGGCAATTCACTCGCCTCAGTCTCCCAAAGTGCTGGGATTACAGGCTGAGCCACCAAGCCCAGTCTAGACTATGTGACTTTGGAGGTCTTTTTTTCCCCCTGAAGTGCTAGAGTTCTAAGATTTCATAAACTTATGATTTCACATAATCACCAAGTTCAGTTCAGCAAGTGTCTATTGAGCCCTTACACGGTGCCAGGCATTATCCTGCATGGGTATTAAAAAGACAAAAATAAGCCGGGCTCGGTGGCTCAGCCTGTAATCCTGCACCTTGGGAGGCTGAGGTGAGTGGATTGCCTGAGCCCGCGGGTTCGAGACCTGCCTAGGCAGCGAGACCTCATCTCTACAATAAATGAAAAAATCAGCCAGGCATGGTAGCGCATGCCTGTAATTCCGGCTACTCGGAAGGCTGAGGTGGAAGGATCGTCGGAGCCCAGCAGGTTGAGGCTGCGGTGGCCGGCAGCGGCCACTGCACTCCAGTCTGGGCGACAGAGTGAGACTCCAACTCAAAAAAAAAAAAAAAAAGACAAAAATAACTCATATAGAGCTATTGCCCTTGAGGTTGGTGGGGACATGGTTTTTGTAAGTTCTCCTCAGACCCGCGTTTGGGTCTTATACTATGTGCTTCTTGTTACCGTGCACGAAATGACTCAGGACTCTGGTTCTTTTCTTTCCAGGCTGGAATTGATGGCGAAAGCATTGGCAACTGTCCTTTCTCTCAGCGTCTCTTTATGATCCTTTGGCTGAAGGGAGTCGTGTTCAATGTCACCACGGTGGATCTAAAAAGGTAAAGAACGTTGGGTTAATGAGAACATGTTTAGCTGAAGGAACAGGGACGCTTCCATGGAGGAGGGCAAAAGCCTTCTATGGCTCCCAGCGGCCTCCTGCTCACACTTTATTGTCCAGAACTGTGTCAGGGTCCCTCCGTATTAATAAGGGAGGCTGTAAAAGCAAGTTTCTCACTTAGGACTGAGCACTTCACTGCTCTGATTAGAAAGGTTCGATTAGCAAGGAAGAAGGAAGGAACGGACATTGGCTGTGCAGCTAAGAGTGTCTGCAGCAGAGATGGGCACAGACATCTAAAGATACAGGAGTCAGTCATTCTAGTAGTACTTGAGCCATCGTTCGTGGGACCCTAGCTGGACATCATGTGCGCGAGTCTGGGTCTTCAGGAACTTGGGATCCAGACCATATTCCATGCTATGTTCTCATCTTTAGAAATCCTTAGTGTGAGAGTTCTAGATTACAGACCTGGATGGAGGATTATGACTATTCTGTTTCTAAGTGCAGTTTAATGGCTGTTACAAACACCAGGAGCCACACTCTTCATTCCTACAGAATGTGTTCTCTTTCCTCTCTTCTACCAGTCCTGTAATGTGGAATAGTTTGAGGCTCACCCCCTGAGTGTTAATCTTCTACCTTCTTCCCTGATGAGCTTGACCTATTCTCCCTGTCATCCTTATGCGAATGATTCTATACCAAGAGCCCTGCTATTGACTGGAGATTTCCACTTAGATGTTCTGGTATCATGGTAAAATCTAGATGTCTAAAATGGTACCCATCATTTTTCCTTTGAGTGGAGTGCTCCTGAGTTCCTTTGTTCTTCCATTTTCTAGGCACTGAAACGTTTCTAGCTTCTTTCTCTGATCACCTCCATGTTGATCAGCAGCCGAGTCTAGAGCATTCTTCTATCATACTATCTCTTCCTGAAAACTGCCTTTTTTATTCTCCAAGCCCACACTGTCATCTTTGTTATTCATACTGGTCTTCATCTTTCTAAGCTCTCTTTCTCTGTCTGTGTCTCTGTCTATCTCTCTCTCTCATCTGTCCTCAAGTTATTCTTCCTAAATAACGCTTTCCTGTTTGGAAAACCTCAGATACCCTTAATTGTCCATATGAAGCCCCCTTTTGTCTTGTCCTTGGTTCTTCCCAACTCTGTTTCCCCGTAGCTGTCACTGTGACCCGTCTACCTCTGTCAGGCTCACCTGCACTCTGCTCTTCTAGCTCCTTCCAACCTCTACCCTGTGGCGAGGATGTTTCCTCTGTCTAAAACCAGGCCTCTCTTCCTTCTTGTGCTGACCCCAGACTCAGCTACTGCCCCATCCCATCTATGAGGCCTCTCCACCCTGACCGCACCATGCTCAAGAGAGTACTTATCCACCCAACTTCCTTCCAAACTCACCTAGCACCTGTTGTCTATGTTGCCTTGTGTCATTATTGAGCATTTTACCAAGTTATGATATCTACAGTCCTACTGCTTTACAACTGGTGAGTGCTTTCCTACATAAAAAAAGTCACATAATGTATAATCCTGTGAAGGAGGTCTGATTTCTCCAAGGAAACCGAGGCAGAGGCATTTAAATGACTTTCTCAAGATACCAACTAGAAATTGGAGGGGCTGATACTAACAACTCAGTCTCCTTGGTTCAAATACTATGCTCTATATACCACATCATTTATGAGGTTTGTTTCTTCTTTCAAATGAGACCTCTAGGACAGACTGGGATTATGTCTTAAGTTTCGTTGGATCCTCCACAACAACTAACTTTCTGTAGGTTCTCAACTAATATCACTCAAATACATGAACATGCATCCACTATGCTGCTAGTATCTGTGATAACTAAAGAGAGCAGGCGAATTTGGTAACACTGGAGAGAATAGCTTCCAGCAATGCACATATGTGAGAGTGGACTTGTGTGTTCGCTGGAGTCAGAATGGGAAAGGGAGCCAGCCGAGCACTCTTCAGATGCTTAGGTTGCCCATTCAGATGATCACATCTGGTCCTGACAACACTCTTTTGGGGTAGGCCAGGCAAGTATCACTCCAGATTTATAGGTAAGAAGACTTTCTTACTGCACACACACACACATACACACACATTGATTTCTAAGAAAACGGATTTTTTTTTTATCCTGGCACCACCATTTATTAACTGAATACCCTTGAACTTTGAGAGCCTCAGTTTCCTCATCTGTACAATGGAGATAGTGCCTTCTTAAGCAACAGGGTTGTTGTGAGGGTTTAGTGAGCCAGGTCACGTAAAGCATTTGCATCCAATATTGTGCCTGGCTCACAGCAAGAACGCCATACATTGAAGTTGGCTCTTTTTAGGATTATCCCTGCCTTCATGGAGCTGGCCATCCAGTCAGGAAAAGAAGACTGATTCACATTACATAATTCATAAATTGTACCTGGCAATATGCGATCCCATGCTAATGATAGATTTTCACCTGTTAATGCTGAAATGAGGTTGACAAAGAGAGCGGCTGTCACTAACCAGCATCCCATTGTCAATGTCCAACTGAGCTTTGTGACCATGGGCAGTCCTTCCCCGGGGTGTCAAACTCCAGTGGCCATGGTTCTCTTGAGTCCCCAGGCTAAAAAAAGAGCCCACCACTCCCACCACCACAACCACAACTTTCTGTATTTTTAAGTTACAGAGAGGAGAGGTGACAGCTAAAAAATAAAATCAGTACGGATTTTCTCTTCCAGCTGAGAACACCAGCGTTCCTACCTTGTGTCAACTCTGAAAACCACGAGGAGCCAGTAAAGAATGTCCTTTCATTGTCTAGGATGAGGGACACCCATAAAGTAAACAAAGGGACCGAGTCAATTAGACTTTACAAATACTTTTCGTGATCATCTGAGTTCCAAGTGCCGCAAAATGCAGCTGGAGTGTGTGTGTTTGGGAGCGACTTGGGAGTAGCACAGTAACTGAAATTCTTCTCTTCCCCTCCCAAACTGATTACGCCAGGAATTTGTTTCATTACAAACTCCTCTACCCCTGCTGTTTACTTCTGTACAGTTCCTGCATCTAATGTTTTTCACTCCTGACTCCCACAAGAAATATGGCATTCTCAGAGTATTTGGAGTGAATCAGATGTCTCAGCCCTGCTGGAGGTCTCTTCACTCTTCTTCCTCTTCCTTACTCTCTTTTTAGGGCAACCCTCTCCCTTCCCATTTCCTCCAATCTGCCAACCCATCTTCCCCTCTGCTCTGTTCTTGCTCTGGCATTCTGACCAGCTGGCAGAAGCACAGAAGCACACCCCTGGGCCTGCCAGTGTCACACACCAGGCCCCTTTCCTTCCTGCCTCACAGCAGGAAGCCCCTTCCCACAGGTATTATCTCCCTAGCACACACCAGGAAAGCCACTTAGCACTGCAGTAGGCTAAATGCAGAACATTCAGTTAATTGTTCGGTTAATTAATTGTTCATTCATTTGATTGGGACTGTGTTACAGGAGTTCACCCTTTTCTCCATCATCTAGGCTTTTCTTTCTGGATAATTTAGGACTTTGGGGTCTTCTGTTTCCTAGGTGGTGGGGAGAGAGAAATGCACTGTTGTTTTGGTTATCTTGAAGTGTCTGATCCAGAACCCAACAGGCACACCAGAGAGCCTTTGGTCTTCTCAAGGACTAAATCTGTTGCCTACTAACTATCTATCTATCTACCTATCTATCCATTACATAAAAGATCCTATTGGTCCCAGCAAAACTTTCTATATAAAGAACTTTCGAAAAGCAAATGCTATGTTTGAGCCACATTAGAAAATAGAAGATATATTTGTTTAGAAAATAAATTTTTTTGTAAACTATGATGAACACTTAAGTATCCTTGTTATTTTTTAAAATAGGTACAATTTTTGACTCCTAGGAGATTTTTAATTTATATATGTTGAATAGAATTTAAAACTACTTCAAGGAAAAGAGCTTCTTTCTAGTAAAACTAGAACCATCCTAGTCACATTTCGAGGATAACAGTGGGCTCTTGAATTAAGCGACAAGGTACCAATGTTGTTACAGGCAGACTGTGGTGGATTACAAGCCTCGAGTAGCCTCCACACTCTCCTCTGAAAGTTGGAAGCTTTCAGAATTGGATTGGAGTTTTTAACCAACTTCAGACCAATCTTTGATTTCTAATTCTGTACCTAAAATTGTTTTTAAAAAAATTCATGTGGTCATTAAACATACATATCTACTGAGGGCCTCCTATTTGCCAGGCACAGTTCTGGGTCCTTTCCTCCTAGACCCTGAGTTGTAAGGCGTTCTCTCAGGCATCTTCTTACCCAGGAATAGTAAGTTCTTGATGCAGAATTCTTGATAATAGCCTATCTGGTGTTTGTGGAGCAATAATATTGAACTTGGGTCTGTCTGACATAATTCCATGAGTTTTCACAAGGACCTGTAGTGTATCCACATTAGAAACTTGGCAATAAAAAGTCCTTTGAAAACACTGTCTTCATTTAATAGTTCTGTTTTTAATCTAATGGCTTGATTATTTTCATGGATACCTGAAGGCTGTATCAGGAACTGTTTACAATAGACAAAAGTATCTGAGTTTGGCAAAAGATAGCCCATGTTACACATTAGTTATTAGGTATTAAAATTTGCTATACAGAATACGGGTACTAGAACTTGAACAAATGACCCAAACTCCCAGTTTTTTGTGTGTTTGACGATGTTTCTTAGGATCAAAGTGTGGTCTAATTCATCACCTTTTAAAGTGTGGAATTATGTATAGTGCATTTTGTCAGGCAGATTAGTGAAGGAGCTTTTGAAAGCACAGTCCAACTTCTCCCCTGGGTAATTAAAGCTTGGCGCTAGCTAAGCCACCTGGATTCTCTCCACTTTTTTAATAGTCCTCAACTCCTTCATCTTGACTTGTTCCTCTCTCACTGACTCCACTGGTCCCACGTCCTGGATCATACCGCATTCTTTCCGAACTTTCTCCAATCTCCCCTCTCCCATGCCCCACACCATAAATCTGTTTCTGCTGACGGGCATGTTGGGTAGCACAGGGAATCAAATTTACAGTCCATGGTAGGTTCCCAGAACAGAAGCACCCTGGTAAGCCAACACCTGAATCCTGCTCTCTCTACAGAAAGCCTGCCGACCTGCACAACCTCGCCCCTGGCACACATCCGCCCTTCCTGACCTTCAATGGAGACGTGAAGACCGACGTCAACAAGATCGAGGAGTTCTTGGAGGAGAACTTGACCCCTGAAAAGTAAGGAACTGCTTCTTTCTAGAACTTTTGAAAGAGCCGGGTTCGAAATGGAACTGCAGGAACGCGTGTTGACTCTGAGCAGACTCTTTCCAGAGGAGCCACATCAATCCAAAGTATAGGATCCTCTTCAAAGAGCATCTAGACCTCACAAAGGGCTGCCAATCACAAAGCTACTCCACTAAACCCACTTGAGAGTAGATACCGCCTATGAAGTGGGGCCAGTCACTCCTGCCTAAACTGGGTGATATGAGGAGCCCTAGGAAGTCCTCACCCTTCCCTCACCCCAGTGCATCCCCATCCCCCTCTTTCCAGTTCTCTTTGCCTAGAAGACCTCAAAGGGGGGGCTAACCCCCCATCAGAACCGAAAGGCTGATGAAATGAGAATAAGCCAGGAGAAGAAAGCCCAGGGACTTCACACAATATCAAGAGTCTTAAACCTGACCCAATCTGGCCTGACCCCACTATTAAACAGATGAGAAAACTGACTAAAAGCAGCTCCTCTTCTACAAACAGACCCAAGGAGGAGACAGGCCAGATGGGGCTGTCAGTTCTTGATGGAGCATGGGCTGCTACTTATGGGAAGGAGAAGTACAAAGAAGAGGGAGGGGTCCTCAAATGAACCTGTGGTTAGACTTATTCATGAAAGAATATCATCAGCAGGGACTACAGCAGTCACAATTTAATAAAATAATTTTTAAAAAACTAGAAAAGTAATATTACATGTAGAGTAAAGCATGGGCCTTATTCTGTAGGGCATTGTCCTTTAGGGCATCCCTGTAGGGTAAGGGTATCCTGAAAGGTGTTAAGCCAAGGAGTTGGAAAATCCATGTGAAGATTTGGAGGCTGAGGACTGAGGGAAGGGGTACCCTGGAGGACGGAAAGGCTGGAGGTAGAGAAATCAATTGGGAGGAGCCATTGGCGACCATTCAGGTAGAACGAAACAAAGGGTTGAGCCCAGGCAGGGGCAGGAAAAGTGGGAAGAGGAGCAGGAAGGATTCGGGGCATACTGAGAAGGCGAAGTAGGGGCGACTTGACTCCTAGAAATCACCATCTCGAATTTATTTTAAAGTTTTATTTATTCACCAATACCTTTTTTTTTTTTTTTTTTGAGTTGGAGTCTCACTCGGTCGCCCAGACTGGAGTGCAGTGGCCGCTCCCGGCCACCGCAGCCTCGCCTGCTGGGCTCCGGTGATCCTTCCGCCTCAGCCTTCCGAGTAGCCGAAATTACAGGCATGCGCTACCACGCCCAGCTGATTTTTCACCAATACTTTTATAGCTCTCACTTTGTGCCAGGCACTGTTCACAGCACATAACTAATAGGACTCATCTCCTCCTTCTAACAGCCACAGGGGGTAGGTGCTATTATGATCCTCACTTCAAGTTGGGGCACAGAAAGATTAAGTCACTGACCCAAAGCCACACATCTAGTGAATGACTGTTAAAAAGTTAAAACTCCTGATCATGCTCCGATCAAGCCTTAAAAGTATCCTTTGTCATCCATATTAAGACAGTTGATTTTCACACTGAGGGTGGAAAGCTGCCTCAAGCCCATTGGAAGCAGACTTTAAGTAAGTGCTTAATTAAAGCAAGGGGATCACTCCACACATGACTCCAAGCTCAGCCAGCGCCAAAAGCCACACACATCTCTAAAGAGGACACCAGCTAGCCACTTTGCTGGAAGTGCCCAGAGGCAGTTCAGATTCTTTCCCCTTCCTCTCGGCCTTGACCTCATTGCTAGCGGTGGGGTGAGATCTCACATGAAAAAAATAAATAAATACTGTTTTCAATAACTACATACAGTTTAGACTTTGCCTGGGAGATCCATGGCAAGAGGAAATTCTGTGGTGAAACTAACATCTTCCCTTTTAGAAGCAATACTCACACTCAGGAGTGAGTGAGGGCTTCCATCAAGGTCACTAAGAAATGGAACATTAAAGTAGGGAAGAGGAGAATGCCCCCCGGTCTCTTGCCAGACCGGTAGGTGGAGCTGTGTGGGGTTGGGGTGCACTTCTAGCTCTGCTAGTGATGTGCTGTGTTCTCTTGAACCAGTCCCTTCTCTGCTTTCAGCATCAGTTCCTTCCCCTGTGGAAGGATGACTCCCAGAGCCCCTCATGCTCTATGGTTCCTCATACCCACTTTAGCCAGACTCCTCTGCCTCCCTACTCCAATCTGGCTGTGGCTTTCCTGGGCTGTTTCTCTAACTCAAGAGTCTGCATCCACAATGGGACCAAGGGGGCCCAGAAATCCCTGGAATTGTAAGCCCCATGTGTCCTTGTGCATTCTTCTAGAGGTGGGGCATCATTAGATTTCACTATCATTTCATCAGATCCTAAATGTTTCCATCATCTGCATAAGGCTAGACAGTGTTGGATACGGACACCCCTTCTCTCCTCCCACATTCCTTGTCCTCAGCTCTGCTCCTGCTGGTCCATGTCCTTTTCTGAACTGTGGTTATGTGTAGGAGGTTTGATAAGTGCATTCCTGCCATGTGAGTGATGCAGCGATCCAGCACTCCCAGGTTGGAGGACCTCGAGACTATTCGAATGCACATCTCCAAAAGTCTGCCTAGGTGGGGCCCCTAAAGGTGAGACCATCTGCTCTGCTAGAGCCTCCCAGGAGTGTCCCTTAGATGTCTTTGCACCCATCAGACTGGGGCAGGTGCCACAATGAGCCTCCTAGTAAATGTTACCAAGCCAGGGCCTCAGCCCCACGTTAAGATTTGATTATCCTTCCCCAACAAACCACCAGGCTTAGTGGCTTCCCCAGGGACACAGGCTGAAAGGAATACTCAGAACATGTCCACTCCACCTCCAGGCTCGTGTCCCGAGGCCTCTGAAGCAGTGTAGCCTGGGCTTCTGGTTCTCTAGGGGGCAGCAAAACTCCCGTAACTGTTCACCAAGTGCTGCTTGGCCATGTGTTTCTCATCATACCGCTATTTGTAAAAGCTGCCAGAAAGTCAAGACATTGTGGGAGCCTTTTTTCCCCTTAGATTTATTTTTTAAAGGAGAAAACCACATAGCAACACTCCAACAATTTTTTTTAAATCCCATGGAGCATTTGGTGTCAAAATGAAGAATCCAGGAAGTCTCAAGTTGTTTCTAAATGAGGCTAACATCCATCCTTTCGCTTAGACTGACCCAGTTAATGCGCAACAAGGAAGTGTTATGATTAGTGTTGGGATTACTGTTGAGACAAGCTGGCCCTCACCCTTCATCTCCAAGGAATGGCCAGAGTCCATAGGATTTGGAACCGAGACACAGGAGCTCTGCCTCTGGCCACCTCTCTACCAATGTCTGCTGTATGACCTTGTGCAAACTTCTCTCTCACTCAGACCCTCCCTGTTTCCTTGTCTCTAAAATGAGGGTGTGAAACAACCTAGTCTCCCAGATACTCTTCTAGAATGCAATCCCGTGAACTTCTCAAAATACTCTCCCAGAGCTGGTTGTGTTGTTTCAAATAATCCTAACATATAGATGCTATGATAAAAATTCAGGAAGATAAACTGATACAGTTTAGTTACATGGCATGTCATTTAGCCAGTCAACTATCAAGAATAGTTTTAGTATCAACAGGGTTCAGAACACTGAAAACTGGAAGACACTCCTAATTCGTTATTATTATTATTATTATTATTATTATTATTATTAATGAGTTGGGGGGTCTCACTCTGTGATCCATGCTGGAGTGCAGTGACATGATCACAATTCACAACCTTGACCTCCTGGGCTCAGATGATCCTTTCACCTCAGCCTTCCAAGTAGCCGGGTCTACAGGTGTGCGCCACCATATCCGGTTAATTTTTTATTGTTTTTGTAGAGATGAGGTCTTGTTATTTTGCACAGGCTGGTCTCACATTCCTGGGTTCAAACAATTCTCCCTCTTTGGACTCCCAAGGTGCTGGGATTATAGGCGTGTGCCACTGTCCCCAGCCTGAATTCATTATTTTAAGCAATGTATGGAGATATCACACAATAGTGAAAAACAAGAATGTTTTTCTAACTCTCTTGGAAGTGGAGAAACAACCACCAGACCTCCCATAGGATAGCAGAATGACTGAAGATATGAGCTTTGGAGTCAGAGTGATTTGGGTTCGAATCCATATCACTATGCTACAGTAACAAATCAACCATAACATCTCAGTGGCATAACAGAATACAGGTTTATTTCTCAATTGAGCAAAGTCTGAATGCATAGTGTGGCCCTCTTCCATCTTGTACTTTTTGGAATACATGACCTCCCAGACTCCTTAAGCAGGAAGAGAGATAAGGAGGATCATGCTAAATATTCTTCAGGGCCAGAGCTGCAACTGGTCACATCACCTCCCTTCCCATCCTATTGACCAGAATCCAGTCACATGACCACATGACCAAATAGGAGCGAAAAGCTGGGAAATGTGGAGAAGTGCATGACTATTTAGTGAGGAGTCTCTGTTACAAGCAAATGACCTAAACTCTCTCTAATCTCTAATCATCTCTAAAACAAGGATCATACTATTGATCTTACAGTGCTATCGTGGAAGGTAGTACTACTGAACTGAGTGCCTGGTATAAAGTAAGGACCTGTTAATTGGTAGCTCAGAGTCAGAATGAGAGGTCTGTGCCTGTTTTGCAGCTGTCTCCCAGGTGCAAATGGACAGACAATTGATGACCTTCGGTCTTAAAACCACAGATCCCAAGGGATGTCTTAATGACTAAGCTAGACACCTTCTACTTCCAAGGATCTTTGCTTTTATAGCAGAGACAAGACAAACAAGCACACAGTCAAGGATCAGAAAAATCAGAAATGTTAACTTCCTTCTTGAGTTGGGGTTTAGTGGAGTAAAGAAGCAGGAATAGTGGGGAAGGGAGAGAGAAAGTCCTACTTTTCAGCTCATTAAGAAAAGGAGGGTCAATACCCAAACTGCCAGGAGAGATTCCCAGAATCAGCAGAGGTCATGCCATCAGGACTCTCTCGTATTCTCCAGTCCACTCCCTGAGCCAGTCACAGGGCCTGGCCCCTGATAGGTGTTTAATGCATGTTGGTTTAATTGCATGGAGTCCATTTTTTCAGCACCATGATGGCCTGTGGCTAGCCAGTAAGAAGTCTGCTGGGACTCTAAACAGGTCAGAAAGAAAAACAAAAGCATAAACCAGTCAGAGCACTTAACACCTGCAACCTTCTTCTTTTTCTTTCTTTCTCTTTCTTTCTTTCTTTCTTTCTTTCTTTCTTTCTTTCTTTCTTTCTTTCTTTCTTTCTTTCTTTCTTCTCTGTCATTACGCCTTCCTTCCTCTCTGTCTCTCTTATTTTCTATTTACAATTAAAGAAAATTTTTTTGGCAAGAAGCCAACTGTTTTACTTCCCAGAATGAAGCCTAAGTGCATGCATTTGAAATAAGATGTCTTAAAAACAGTATGGAGAGAAATTTTCATAAGTTAGATCAGTGGTCAGAAAACTATCTGTAAAAGGAGAGATAGTAAATGTGTTTGGCTTTGCGGGCCACATGGTGTCTGTTGCAACTCCACTGTTGTACTGTGAAGGCAGCCATAGCCAATATGGAAATAACGGGTGTGGCTGTGTTCTAATGCAATCTTATTTGTGAACACTAAAATTTGAATTTTATATTATTGTCACATGTCACACAATAGCATCCTTCTTTTGATTTATCCCCCCCAACCATTTAAAAATGTAAAACCATTGTTAGCTTGAGGGTCATATACAAATGGGAGTCATCGGTTATAGTTTGCTGACCCCTGAGTTAGAGAAATGTATCATGTTTTTTATTGTCATCAGACTAAGTCACAATATTTTTTTTAAAATTATTATTATTATTATTATTAAAGATGGGGTCTTGCTATGTTGCCCAGGCTAGTCTTGAACTCCTTGCTTCAAGTGATCCACCTTGGCCTCCCAAAGTGCTGGGATTACACGCATGAGTCACCATGCCAAGCCATATCACAATGTTATTTCAAAGATGTAGGCCAGGCACGGTGGCTCATGACTGTAATTCCAGCACTTTGGGAGGCTGGAGCGAGAGGATTGCTTAGGCCCAGCAATTGTAGACAAGCCTGGGCAGCATAGTGAGACCTCGTCTCTACAAACAATCAAAATATCAGCTAGACATGGTGGCACACACCTGTAGTCCCAGCTACTCGGGAGGCTGAGGTAGAAGGATCATGCCACTGTACTCCAGCCTAGGTGACAGAGCAAGATCCCAACTAAATAAAATAAACAACAACAAAAAAATCCAAAGATATTTCTGTGATCAAAACATTGCTAGTCTTTTTTTTTGAGTTGGAGTCTCACTCTGTCGTCCAGACTGGAGTGCAGTAGCCGCTCCCGGCCACCGCAGCCTCGCCTGCTGGGCTCCGGCGATCCTCCTGCCTCAGCCTTCCGAGTAGCCGGAATTACAGGCACGTGCTACCACGCCCGGCTGATTTTTTGATTTATTGTAGAGATGAAGTCTCGCTGCCCAGGCGGGTCTCAAACCCGCGGGATCAGGCAATCCACTCACCTCAGCCTCCCAAAGGCGCGGGATTACAGGCTGAGCCACCGAGCCCGGCTCATTGCTAGTCTTTTAGAGGGACAGAATGGACTTGGTAGCACACTTATTTGCATATTTTAAAATGACATAAATATAGAGGTAAAATGGATGCACTTATCCCATACAGTAACCTCCCAAGTCTAGTTACTGAAATTTGTGAGATTAGCATCTTGGAGAAACATTTCCCACAAGAACAAAATTCAAATGGAATATTATGCTATACAATAAAATCTCAATGAGTCCCAGTGCTTGGGAAACAGAACGACACTACCATGCTATCTGAATACACAGTCTTTTGTAATCATCCTGGATTTGGTACCACACACCATCCCTGCTTGGCCCACCCTGATTGTGAAGATATAATCAGATTACTAAATGTTAGATCAATTGATGACATAGAGCAAAACAAAACAATAAACCCAAACAAATTTTCCACTGAAATGCGTTTTCTAGGCCCTCTTCTCTCTTTGTTGTCAAGGGGAAACAAAGAACACTTGGTATTTGTTAACAATGATTTTTCTATGAATTTTATTTGTTTGTCTGGTTGCTTTTTTAGAGACAATATGTTGCCAGACTGGCCTCAAACTTCTGGGCTCCAGGGATCCTCCCACTTCAGCCTCCTGAGTAGCTGGAATTACAGATGCACACCACTGCACCCTGGCAATCCTAACAGGATGCAAGATTGTTTGTGAGAAGGCCAAAATAGGGAGAGATGACACTGGGTTCCCACGCCTTGGCAGATTACCTAACTTCCCACGCCTTAGCAGATTACCTGGTATCTTGCTGGAAAACCTGCTTTGCACGCCCAGTCACAGCAGATGAATTTGATTAATTCCCAAATTACTCAGGAAGAAGTGTGTGCAGAATCTGTGCAGAGCGCCCCCTCCTGGTGGATGAAGACAGCTCACCCACGTGCTCAGAACATGGAATTTAAGAGCTGGTCTTCCAAAAGTGAAACTGCCTGGGTTAGAAACCTGGCTTTGCCACCTAGCCACATGGCCTCAGGCAAATTGCTGAACCTCTCTGTGCCTCAGTTTCCTCATGTGGGAAATGAGGCTAACAGTAGTACCAATAGCATTGTGAGAAGTAAATAGTGAATGCATGTAAAGGGATAAGAACAGTGCCTGCCACATAGTGGGTGCTCAGTGCAAGTTAACTTTTACTGCTTACTGAGAAGTGATGTGATTGAGAGGGAAGGACACTGCTCCAGAGCCAGGAAACCAGATTCTCGTTGGTCTTCTTTGTTTATTAGCCAGCCATGGCCCCGGAATCGTCATTTAACCTCTCAGCTCTCCAGTGGCTATCCCTGTAAAATGAGGACAATAATGCCTGCCTTATCTGCCTTCTAGCAGAAGGCAGGACCCCATAAATTTCTGAGAACTCTTGCAATGGTAGTTCCCTCTGAAATGAAACAGCTACCTCACATGGCCCCAAAAGGGACAGTCCTGCTCAGGAGCAAAAAAATAAAAGAACAATAGATAACTTGTAAAGGTTCATTTGGTTCAAATTATTTAAGACATTATGACAAAAATAAAAATGTATTTTGCTTTGTAAACATAAAACAGCCCAGCAGCCCACAGTCAAAACCCAGAGATCACAAAGGTGCACATTAATTGATAATAATGATAACCAGGCAGCTGTCCCCCATATCCTCCTTCCCCTGCCTAGCCACACACATAAAATGTTTGTGAAGTAATACGTTTTTAAATTAGATTTGCTCATTTTGATGTTGCCAGTGGGTTCAAGCCATGAATTCTCACACAAGCAGTTCATCTTCTTCAGTTTCAAGGCCAGTCGTCCGGATCCCAGCCTCCTGCCTCTTGTATTCTTCTGGCTTCAAAATGAAAGGCTTTGAGAGAGAGAGAGAGAGAGAGAGAGAGAGAGAGAGAGAGAGAGTGTCGGGATAACTGCAGATCTATTTCCAAATAAAAACAAAATACAATTGAAAACACATGTCCTGCTGATGGAACTTGGTAGTTTCCACATCATCTTATTACTGCGCACAAATAATCAGAACTCTTCAGAAGGAGACTGGGAATTCTTCTTTGGAGAGATGGTTTAGAGGTCTCAGTGCTAGGGTGCCTGGCATCTCCTTGCTCCCAGAATTAGCTCTGTGCAGTTAGGATTATACCTGCAAGGCTGACAGCAGGTAATGATTTTCATGTGGGAAGGGGAAGTGTCAAGGACCCCACCCAACAGAGAGTCCTTGACACTTCCTCTTCCCACATGAAACTTTGATGAGAGCCCCCTCACGGGTGCATCATTGTTGGTGGTCCCAAAAAGAGGACACATCCTGGGCCTTCTGGAGGGCATTCTGGTTCCTTGCCCAGCAGGTTGTGTCACCCCAGGCAGCTCTCAGCACCTCACTGGGCTCTGGATGAACTAGGGCTGAGCATACCTACCTTCCCTATGGGAAAGATTTGTAGAAGCAGCTAGAAAAGGGGGCGTGCTGCTCATTGTGTTGGGGATAGCCTCACTCTGAAAGAAGCTCCAAGTCTCCCTGATTCACAGAACTCTGCATCTTCCATTCCAGGTACCCCAAGCTGGCTGCGAAACACCGGGAATCCAACACAGCGGGCATCGACATCTTCTCCAAGTTTTCCGCCTACATCAAAAACACCAAGCAGCAGAACAATGCCGGTGAGTGACTCCCTTCCACCAAGAGTCTCTGGCAGTGTGTTTCCTGGCCAAAGCATCTTCAGTTTGCCCATGGGCAAGGCAGATACTCAGGCCAGAGAAGCATCTGGAACCAATGCTGCTTGTTATTCGCCCACCCACATTCCCCTTGACACAGGGCAGGGGGAGGTTGTGGAGTCTGCAGCTGGGCCAGTGCAGGAGGAAAGGCCAGTGGGCCTTCATGCTGAATCCAAGAGAGGGAAGCAGTTGGCCTTCTGAGGCTGCCTTATTGCAACAGCATAGTACACTGTACAGAAGGGTCTTCTCTGCCATCAATTTGTCCCAAAGTCCCGACCTTGCCTGTGATCACATTGGAATAACACATTCCTGCTTCCTTCTGGTCTTTGTAAGATTTCTTCTTGAGGGCTTGTCCACTGTGTGGCAGCTGTAGGAGGTGGATGTCTGGCTCTCTCTACTGCAAAGATAGAGGGGCCTGGAGGAACCACTCCTCAAAGCCTGGTGCATCGTCCAGAGGACCCTTCATTTTTGGTATTGGCTACAGAACACAAGATTTGGTTCTCTTATGGGGCCTTCTTGGAGGGACCAAGTCCCTCATTTAAGTGCACAGCACTTCTAATTCCTCATCTGGCATTATCCTTTAAGATATAGCTACCGTCTTTTGAGTGGAACCATCCAACTGCACATGTGTAACACTTGAGTACTGTGTTGGGCTCCATGAGGGACAGGAAGAAGGATGAATGGTTTTCTTGCCCTCAGAATGGGAGAAGGAGACAGCCTACCAAGCTGGACTCCTGGAGCCTAACACAAAGACAAGAGAGTGAGTGCTTCATGAATCTTCATGAATGAACAAGCGAATGATGCATAAGAGACCAAAGCAAGGGCCATATGCTAGATGTTCCAGAAGCTCCTAGGAGAAGGCCACCCCTTTGAACTATGATGACGAGGAAAAGCAGCCACACATGAGGTGAAAGAGAAGAAATCTTGGTGGGAACAGAGTTGATGCCATGGAAGTAAATAATTCAGTGACAGTTACTGAGATCCTGGATTGTGCCAAGCCCACAACTAGATTCTTAGGGTTTGAAGAAGGAAAAGACACTTTCCCAGTCTTCAGTGTCCAACTGGTGCTGGAGGAAAGGCTTCCATTCACAAAAAGTCAAATAAGATTTTGATCAAAGAGAGTCTAAGAGCTGGTTAACTGCCAAGTGAAAAGATGAAATAATTTCTGTCAAAGGTGCCCAGAGCAGGAAGAATTTACTTCAGGGTTCTTGGATAAAGTTTCTTGAGGGAGTTTCAATTGGGTCATAAAGATTAAGAAGGAATCAGTGGGTTGAGAGCATAGAGTGGAGGATATAGGGAATGTGAGACAAAGTTGGGGACAGAGACCAGAAGAGGTGGCGGAGCCTGCAGTGCCAGCCTGTGGGCTTGGATTCCATCGTGTGCACAATGGAAGACACCAGAGGTGTTGTCAAGACACTAAAAAACGGTGGTTTTGGAGGGACAAGGAGAGGCATGTGGAAAATATTTTAAATATACCAGTGCTCTTTCTTCCTTGTTGTTTGAATCCTGTAGTACAATGAGGAGGGTCCCCCCAAAATTCATGTCCACTTGGGATCTCAGAGTGTGACCTTATATGGAAATGGGCTCTTCGCAGCTGTAATTGATTAAGGATCTTGAGATGAGATCATCCTGGATTTAGAGATGGTTCACTGAATCCAATGACTTGTGTCCTTTTTTTTTTTTTCTTTTGAGAGTCAGGGTCTCACTCTCCTGCCCAGGTTAGAGTGCAGTGGTACTGTCATGGCTAATTGGAGCCTCAACCTCCTAGGCTCAAGTGATCCTTCTGCCTCAGCCTCTTTAGTAGATGGTATAACAGGCATGCACTACCACGTCTGGCTAATTGTTTGATGCTTTTGTAGAGATGAAGTCTTGTTATGTTTCCCAGGCTGGTCTCAAACTCCTAGGCTCAAGCAATCCTCCCGCCTCAGCCTCCCAAAGTGCTGGGATTATAGGCAAGAGCCACCGCGCCTGGTCTGGTGTCCTTTTAAGAAGGGGAAAGGATATGCAGGGAAAAAGGCCATGTGAGCGAAGATTGGAGTGATACTCCCATGAGCCAAGGAACACTGAGCTTTCTGGAAGCTGGAGGAGGCAAGGGAGAACACCAGCTGACACCTTGATTTGGGATTCTGTCCTCCCGAACCATAAGGGAAAATCTCTGTTGTGTTAAGCCACCCAGTTTGTGGTACTTGTGGTAGCCCTAGGACACTACTACAGCCCCTCAGAGCCATCGTGGAAAAGAACAGTTACTGCTGCTTTCCTGGCTAAGGACACAGAGGCAAATGAGAGGCCCCCATGGCTTGTCCTCCCCCAAGGCAAGGCTGACTCTCGAACCCTGGTGTTCAGATTCTACATCCAATGTCCTTTTCTCCTGGCCACAAATATCTTCCTTCATATTTGTCAAAGCGCCCTCTGAAAGATTATCTCATTTGAGCTTTCCAGATTTTTCTAATTATAAATGGTATTTACATATTATCCATATTTACAGTTCTATTCCCAAAGCCAAAGCAATGCTTTCCACCAAATAGCGCGTATCAATTTCTTACAAACTCAATACTCTCCAATTTTCATTGTTTCCCCTTCTTCTGTTTCTCCCTGTTTTTCCCTGGACTGGGTTTTGCCCTTGTGACTCCTTCTTCCACTAACTTATTTGCACATTTCAAAGCTCTGGCATTTCTGCTTTCCCAAAAAACCTGTCCCCTAGATGTGCCTTCTCCTCACCTTCCTTGTCACAAGCCACCACGTGTCCCTTCAATGGAACCATGACTTGTCCACTCCCCTCCCTTCCTCTCTACTTGTCCTTCCTTCCACCCCATGCCCCCCCCCTCAGTTGTGGTCAATGGGGTCCAAAAGTTCTTAGGTTCAGCAAGCCAGAAACCAAGTCTTCTGCAGGGCTTACTGTCCTGTAGAGAGCAGTATGGCTCCTGTGGTTCCAATCCCACACCTTGAGATGGTACACATCTTCTCTGCTCTGTCCAAGCTCTTTGCTCGGAGCCTGTCCCCAATTTCTGCAAGAGTATTAGCACTGGACTACAGACTTCCCATGGCATGCCTTCCTGTGCTACTTGGCCATTTTTCTTTCTTTCTGGGTATTCAGCTCTGCACCAATTTCCCCAATGTTGATTCCTCAGAGTATCCCTCTTGTGTTTTCATTTATTTTCTCTTAAACAGAGTCCTCCCTCCCCACCCTCTTGCCCCAAATACCCACATCCCCTGTGCACACACTGACCAAGGTCATGTGCTTCTCCTGACTGCCTTCTCCACAAGAGAGCATGAGAAGAACCAACATTGGAACATGTTTCCACATGGTGGGTCATCTCTCCAAATTGTGGATGGCTGTAGGATCCACCAAGTAAAATTTCCCTATTTTTCCATAAAGTCCCTAGCTACTAGAACCCAGACCCTAGTAATACTCAAGAGAATCATCCATTAGTTTCTCATTCAGTCATTCATTTATTCATTAACAAACAGAGAGTGCTTGGAGTGGCTACAAGTCTGAACTGATGTTTAAAAGGACACTTCTTGTGTGCCAGGCACTGTGCTAGGTCTTGGAGTTGCCAAGACAATGAGACAAAATAATTGCCCTCTGTGAATTAATTATCTTTAGGGAGCTGTAAAACTTGTAAATAGGCACTTACTGGCCTGGGTTTGAATCCAGCACTTCTGGCTGCACAACTTTGCCTGAGAGACTTATCCTCTGTGAACCTCTGTATATGCATCTGTAAAATGGACCTGATAATATCTTCAGCTTCTTTGTCTGCCAAATAAGGTACTTAATAATAGTATAGCCAAGGATTGCAATGCAGATTCATTTGTTTTAGAAGTTGGTACATGGAAATCCTTTAGCACAATGCCGGGCATAGGAATGGTTACATTTGATTATTTTGATTGTTCTTAATACTGTAAAAATGGGACAAGCATGAATAATGGCAGAAGAAACTGCTGCTTCAGCACTTTGTCCTCTCCTCCAGCAGCATTTCCAACTCTCCCACACATGTAGTCTCTTTTCTACTTTTAAAACTTTGTTTCCCACTTTCTTGGTGCATGTTCCTCCTCTTCAAAGTCACGTCCAAGAGCCTCGGTGGCCTGGCCCTGACTCTCACAACTCAGCACCATGGCGTTACTCTTTGCTCCTGGAGCTTTGGTTTCGTGCTCCCTTTAGTTGCCTGTCACTGCACTACCCCTCCATCCGTAATTGCTAGATCCACATCTCCCTGGTCTGCTGCGATGGGGATTCCATCTCCATATCCCTACCCTCCTCCCCTTTCAAACTTGCTCTTCACTTAAGTGTAGCCTGGATTTTCTCATGACTGGCTCTCAAGTCCTCACATTTCATCAGGTGCCACGTGGATGGGTGGCTTCATTTTCTTGCCCCTTGAGATCTTGTAGCCCCACCCCTGGTTTGGGAAGGAATGTGTTTCCTGTACTCAGAGGCAAGTCACTGTGTGTAGTTCGACTCACAGACTTGGAAGACTACTGCCTGGTTCACACTTCATTTTTGCTTTTTTGTTGGCCTTGTAGCAAGTTACTTCAACTCTGCATGCCTCAGTTTCCTCATCTGTAAAATGTGGGTAGTAACTGTGCCTACCTCATAGGTACACTGAGAATGCTGCCCACCATCATGTTCACTGGTCAACTGCTGATCTGAGCAATGAATCAGTGCAGACAGTTCCCTCACAGAGAGTTCTAGGGTAAAAATGTAGTTTGAGGAGCTATACCTGTTTAGATGATTAAGCTCATGATTAAAGCGGCCAAGGATCACCCATATTTATTGGAGAGCAGAGGGAGAGGAGTCAGGGAGGAAGATTTAGAAGGACTAGCCAGTGAGGAAGGAGAAAATCAGGGGTGCCAGAAGCAGAACATGAAGATGGAAAAGAAAGTTTGTTTTTGTTTTTGTTTTAAGAGTGATCTGTGGTATAACATGCTGCACATCTGCACATGTTCCTGGG